GAAAAAGCCAGAAATGATATGTTTTTATAATATGACTAAGGGAGCAGTGGATATGGTAGATGAAATGGCAGCAAGTTATTCAGTTGTCAGAATAACAAGGAGATGGCCAATGGTAATTTTTTTTTTTTTTTTTTTTCTGCACTGAATATTGCTGCAATAAATGCTCGAATCATATTGCTATCAACTGCTAATCCACCAACCAGATATAGAAGCAGACGTCTGTTTTTGAAGGACTTAGCATTAGAACTAATTAAAAATCGTATTGAACAAAGATCAGAGATTAATACGCTAACGAGAAATTTACGTGCGTCGTGCAAAAGAAGAGCAGAAGTTTCTACGAATAATTCAAACGAATCTATGCAATTCAAAATAACTAAATATAAAAGATGTGATGAATGTCCTCGAGCTGAGGATAGAAATACGCGAATGCGATGTTCAAAATGTGAAATCTTTCTGTGCCAAGAACATATTAATGTATTTTGTTCAAAGTGTAAACAGATAAAATAAGCATTGTGTATCAAAGACGCAAAAAATAATTGAGAGGTATGATGTTTATTTTGTTATTATTTCCATTTATTTTTATTTTAACTCTATAAGCTTAATACTGGAAATAATTTTTTTGTAACCCAAGGTTTATTCATGTATAATAAATGACAAAACTGGTTTAAAACTAAATAAAACATTTTTAAAACATATTTTAAATATTGGGGTATGTGATAAACCACACGTCCGCTCAAGTAACTTTTCTTGACGTGCCTTCCGCCGGGTTAAGAATAGCATTGCTGTACTTAACAAAGTCGTCATGTTCGGTGCCTTTCTATAATTCATGAGGAAGATGGCAAGTTTTTGCTTAATATTTCCTGGATAACTTTACATTGCACGTAATGCTTGTGTAACGGTGTAAACATACCGCTCTGCTTGCCCGTTACTTGCCAGTTTAAATGGAACACACATTTTGTGTTTAATTCCATTATTCCTTATAAAAGTTTCAAATTCCCCCGATGTGAACTGAGGACCATTGTCACTCACTACTACTAAAGGCAGTTTGTATCTTGCAAAACAGTCTCTCAAACATTCAATTGTCTGAAAAGAATTTGTTGACTTTAAGGTATACACTTCTAGCCATTTAGAATGTGTGAATGATAATCAAGAACATTCGTTCAAAAATAGGGCCTGCAAAATCTACGTGAATGCGTTCCCAAGGCGCACTTGGATATTTCCAGTGATGGACCCTTGCCCTTACTGGATCTGATTTGAACTTAATACAATCGACACAGTTCCTAGAAACTTCTTCAATATCATGATCAATTCCCTTCCAAAAGATGCAGGATCTGGCAATTGCCTTCATTTTAACGATTCTTAAATGCCCTTGGTGTAACTCTTTGAGAATTTTAACTCTTCGGAACAACTACCCTCTGACCACTCATTATACAATGTCGTCTTGTAAGGTGTACTCTGCTTCCCTACCTTCCAAACTTTCTCCAGATTTTAATTTCATATAAAGACTATTTAATTCTTCATCAGCTTATGTTTCCCGAGCTATCTTCCTAGCTGTTACCGGAAGAGTTTCAATTTGGAAAAGTTGGAATATTTCAACATCATCCTTAATGCTTAAATCTTCGGACTTAAGAGGCAGGTGCGACAGGCAGTCAGCATTACCGTATTCCTTGGTATTTAGATACACAATATCAAAGTGATATACCTGCAATATCAGTGCATAATGTAAAAGTTGGGTGGCTGTGAGGATAGGAAGTCCTCTTTTCGATTTGAAAATAGCAACTAAAGGTTTATGATCTGTCACCAGAGAAAATCGTCTCCCCTTTAGATATAAAGGTCGAGTTTTGGATTCACTTGTTGCAAATCTACAATATCTTCTTTATCGATTTGGGCATATTTCTGCACTGTGTTAGTCAGTGTCCTTGATGTGAATGCTATAGGCCTTTCTGTTCCATCTGACAAAACATGCGAGAGCACTGCCCCAAGACCTACCGGAGATGCATCAGTAGCTAGCATTAACGGTAATGTGGGATCGTAATGCATTAAAACTCTGTCTGAACAAATTCCCTTTTTCATTTTTTCAAAAGCAATTTGGCAGTTTTTTGACCAACTCCATTTAACATCCTTTGTTGTTAAATTATTTAAGGGATGTGCCAAAGTTGCCAAATTAGGGCAAAACTTGTCATAAAATTTCACTAATCCCAAAAAGCTTTTGATGTCTTGGACGGCTTTCGGCCTAGGCGCATTAGCAATTGCCGAAATCTTTTCATTCGTTTTATGCAATCCATCGGCATCGATTTTATGCCCTAAAAATTTAACCTCATTTTGAAAAAATTTACTTTTAGTTAAGTTTAATTTTAGGCCCTGGTCCTTGCATTTTTTGAATGCTTTTAAATGAGACTGATCATCCGGTCCTGTCACTCAAGCATCATCCATAAAAATTTTAATTCCTTTGATCCCCTAAAATAATCCCTCAACATAGCGCTGCCAAATAGCTGGGGCAGCACTTAATCCATACATCAAGCGTTTACAAATATACAACCCCTTACGCGTGTTTATTGTTAATAATCGTTGGCTCTCCGGATGCACCTTCATTTGTAGATAAGCATGACTGAAATCAAGTTTTGAAGAATTTTTACCTTCATTAAGGCATGAAAATATTTCTTCGAGTTTTGGTAATGGATGCTGTGGCACTTCCAAATTAGGATTCAGAGTCACAGAATAATCAGCACAAAGCCTAATGGAACCATCAGATTTAACAATTGGCACAACTGGTGCTGCCCATTCTGAAGCCTCAACCCTCTTAATGATACCTTCCTTCTCAAGCCAATCAATTTCTGATTACACTCTATTTTTTAATGCGAAAGGTATCGGTCATGACCTACAAAATATTGGTTGAGTATTAGGTTTTAAATTTAGTTTTACTTCGTGATTATTAATTTCACCTAATTTACCATAAAAAATTTCTTATACACCTCAAGTAATTTTTTTTAAATTTAATTCACTAGAAGTTTTCAATGTTTTGATGGCATTCCAATCGAGATTGATTTTCATACAGCCATTCTCGGCCTGAAGATTGTGTCCAAATTTTCCTTCACAATGTACAAATTTAAAACTAATTTTTGACCTTGGTATTCAACTTTAACAGGAACATATCCTAAAGGTACCACCTTATCACCCCTGTAAGTTTTAAAAACTAAATTTGTAGGAAATCTTTTTATTGGAAATTTTTCTAAATTTATTTATAGACATTACCGAAACTGTTCCCCCAGTATCAAGTTCAATGCTAACTGGTTTGTTTTCAATTTTAACTTGAACCATTATTGGCGGTTTTTTCGGCTCTTCCTCTCTTAACATGTGCGTTTTGGAGCTAAATCCATAGATAGGGACCTCATTTTTCCAATAATAATCATTATTTGCCTCAACTTTCTTTTGTTTAACCTGTCTGTTTTTCCTAGACAAATAACACGCCCTTTTGATATGTCCAATTTTTTTACAAAAGCGGCATTCACTTGTTGCAAATATACAGTTGTTTTTATTGTGATTTGCTCCTAAGGAACACGAACAAGTTTCATTTTTACCTTTATTATTCTTAGCAAGAAAGTTTTGTTTCCGCGGTTTGGACTCATTTTTCTTGGTTTTAAGTACCTTCAGTTCTACGGAATTTCCTATAATCTCATTTGCACCCTTAACCGCCTTTTCCATCGCCAAGGCTATCTTTAATGTTTTCTCTAAACCAATATCATCTTCCTGAAATAATCGATCTAAGATATTATAATCTCGTAGACCACTAACAAAAACATCCCTTTAGCATATCCTCTTTATATTCACAAGGAATCGCTAACGAGCGTAATTCAGTGACATAACTACTAATTGATTCTCCCTCATGCTGTTTTCTATTAATAAACATGTGCCGACTAGGTATTATTAAAGTTTTAGGATTTAAATGATCCTTAAGAAACTTTTTTAGATTGGTAAAATTTTTATCTGAAGGATTATCCGGAGAGAGAAAATTTTTCAACAAATTATACAATTTCGCATTCAAGCTTGAGATCAGAACTTTCCCACGCTTTGCCTCTGTAACATTTTGAATGTCCAAAAAAGCCTCAAATCGTTCTATGAACGAATCAAAATTTTCTACCGTTTCATCGAACTTAACAAAAGAAACAGAAATTTTGTCTTGTTTATGTTCCGATTTCTCTTGCAATGCGACCATTAAAGCTTCATTCTGCTTTATTAATTCTTCAATTAACTTCTCCATCCTTTCAAAATAAAAATCAAATAACTTTCCTACCTTTTGCAGTTTTCGGGGAATCCCCAAATCTAAGTTTCGGTTTTGCTACTACTTACGCATGTAACCGAGTGCGCCGAGTCGGGAACGATTTTCTTCTCACACACCTTCGTCGCCAATTTGTGTGTCTGCGGTGTGGGTTCAAATAAGTGCATGACGCAACCAAGCAGACTAGTTCACGGCACAAACATTTATTTCTAACTAACTCATAAGACAGCAGCGATGCGCCATTTATGCAGTTACATTACATTCTCTCCTACTCTCGTTCACAGAAGTTCTCATGTATAAGAGTACTGATACTCTCGAAATCAGATGCTGCAACATATATTATGGGTACCAGAAAACATAAACTTTATATCAGATTTATTATTAAAAATTCATGATGGTGCATTCACAAAAATATATTACATTAAACTTTATACTATAAGTTTCTCAATTCTGAAGATCACAGACAATGCTATTAATACGAGTTCTCCTATTAATATGTTTCTTATATTTTGATTAAAAGAACACACTACCAGAAACCTTCCTGGTTTAAAACAAAAATTTTCCTCATTTCATAAACATTAAAGAAAACTTCTATTTACCTTTCATCATGTAATAATTCTGTTACTTCTTTTTGGCAACCAGAAAAATATAAATAAATAAATTTTAATGCATTTTAAAAGATACATTTAATGCATTTAAAAGACTAAAAATGTATACAGTTTACCTAAATTCTTGTAATTCTTTCTTTTCCTCTTGCCACAGCCTTGTTTCCATCTCAATTTTTGTTTGATCAACTAATTCTAAAAAAGCCACTTCGTCATCATCCAGTCCTTTTATTAAGTTTTTTAAACGGCGACTTTCTTCAAGCTCTGCTTGCCTGAGATCTTTCTGCTCTTGTAAACGCTCATACAAGGAACGTGGGTCATATTCCTCCTCTGGAACCTCTAGACCATTCATATATAAACAGAAATTTATATATATGACAAATACATAACTTGCAGTATTACTTCTTTTATTATAATGACTTTTTGTTCAAATTCTATAGAGCCGAGCTGAATTTTATATACATTTTACTATTGTTAAAAATGATATTAATTTTGAACAAAATATTTATTGCATTTATAATACCCCATGAAACGTGAAGGTTAGATGCCACTGAACCATGAAAATTGGGAGACATCCAATTTTGCGTTAATAATTCTTGTAGAGTTCTATAGGAACTGACACATCTTTATTTAACTTTTTAACTGTCATGCCCAAAATAATCTCGGGCACAGCACTGGTATTCCAAAATGTCAAGCTCGACTATTACTCGGGCTAATTTTTTTTGAGTGCATCGTATTGTTATACCCGAATATATATCGTGAGAAGTTTATTTTGGCTTCAGTTCAACAGATGGCAGCATTTGACTGAAGGTTTCAAAGGATAGAGGTTAAAGTTCAAAGTGCACTGCATTTTTTTTTTTTTTTTTTTTTTTTTTTGACTTTTTGACCAAAAATGAAATGTTTGCCACAAAAACATTAAATGGAATCAGAGTGGAACTACATCATAGGGATTTTTTCCATTCTTTTTTTTTTCCCCCTTTTTATTTCTGCAGCGTTCAGAGGACAGACATAAGAAGACAAAATTACTTTTAAGTAATCTATGCTGATATGCTGAAAACCTACTGAATGGTTTCCTTTTCTTACTACAAAAGGAATACCTCTGTTAAAGAATATAGTTCCATGATTTTTAGTGACCTTATCTTTGAAAAAAAGTGACGAAATACAGATTGTTCATGTAAAATTCATAAATTATAAAAAAAAAAATTCAACGTCGTTGTTTTCCGGCTGCAAACCAATGTGAACCTTAGCATTTATTTCTGTAAATATTTTTTTTAAAAAAAGGCACAAAAGACAACGACAGCATGACCCGATAACATGGGGACTTCCTTTACTTGGCCATAAAAATTCGCTCTTTCTGACAAACAGAGAATGTTCGCTTGACCTCTTACCTCACGGCACATAACTAACAACCCTTTTGGATGATTCTATGTGTTTTGGCAGAATGCCAGCAAAGGTTGCATTTAAGATGGTTGAACTATAGAAGCAAAATTCCCAAATTTTAAGGTACAACTCTGATATACGCCCTAATTTCACCAAATGTGGCGATATGTGTTCTGCGATGGTTTTTGGCACGATTGTGTGTTGTATGGCAACGCTGTTGACGTTGAAAAATCTTTCGCTGGAGTTCGTTGGTTCTCATCATGCTTTGTGTCTGAGAAGCTAGGGAAAAAAGATTTAATGGTGAAAGTTGTTGAATTGAAGTTCGGTATAAGGAAATATCGTTGTGGCGATCCTGTTGAGGGGCAATGGGTATTTGGAGGTGTGGAAAGAAGGTATGGGAGATTATTTTTAGTGGCTGTGCGTGACAGAAGTATGGATTTGTGATTATTTGTTATTTTATTTATTTGTGAGCCATAGTATGAATTTTCTGGATAGTGTGTCTGGCTGTCATTTACATGCGATAGTGATTACGTGGCGGTATGTTAAAGGCGGCATGAAATTGGTATTTCTGTCGTTCGAAAAAGCATTAATGGTAAGTGCATTTTATTTTATGCTTGTTCTCATTTTGTAGAATGTTATGTTCATTGTTTTTTTAGTATAAATTTCTGTCGTTATTGTTGTTTTTTTGAATTGTTTGAAATTTATTTTAGTTATTTTGTTGATTAGTGCGTACCGTCTAAATTGTGCAATTCGTAGATGTTTTTTAAAGTTGAAACAGAACGTTGTGTACATGGTATTCTTTGAAATTTATTGTTGTTATGTTAATTTATTAAAGCGAGGTGTGCGTAGTTCGTAAATTCATTCGTTGCCTAGATGGTGCCATTGGTAGATGTTCTTTTAAGTTAAACATATCGCTGTGTACATGGACTCTTGCCAAATAATTTTGGTTAGAAACTTCACGGTTTTGCTATCTAAATTTTTTGTTTTTGTTTCGGATTTTTAGCTTAAATTGTGTGTTCAAAACGTGGTTTTTGCTTTCGCGAAAACCGCGTTTTTGGAGACATTTTAGGCTTAAAGTTCAAAATGTAGACAAAAAATTTAGATAGCAATATGGCAGCATGGAGTTTCTATTTGGCGAGAAATTTGGTGCCCGTGGAGTTTCTATTTGGCAAGAAATTTGGCACCTTGAGGGCGCATATCAGAGTAGTTCCATTTTTAATTTTTTAAAAAAACACATCACAAAAAAATTAATTTATATCCTTATTCGTTAAAAAAAATGTGGCTTATCGAAAATCAATAACGATTACATAAAATGAAAGTGCAGATGTTATGAATGTGTTGTCATGTCACGCTTATCCAAAACTTGCACTAAATCATGCTACTTGACAACAGCTTCATGATTGATGGGATACTATGTAAGTACCAAACATTCTTAACATTTTCGGTTGATCTTTACATTACGGTAACTGGTAGTTTGGCGACATTTTGGAGGCGATAAAGGTTACTACCTGGGACTTTGGTAATAATGTGAGCAGTACTGAGTTCCGATTACGCATTATTTTGTGGGGGGGAAATGAGAGATCATGGGATATGTCATGTGATATTAATGGACGAATTACGGTTCTTTAATCGGAAGAGATCATGGGATATGTCATGTGATTTTAATGGACGAATTACTGTTCTTTAATGGGGAAAAATCTGGGAATTTTGTATTTGGCTTTATTCTGTGTTGTGTGAAACAGTGTTTGTGAATTTTTGGATCCCATGGCCGTAAGTAAAGTGAATTCGAAATGGGTATTTAGTGGTATTGAAAAGGATAGTAAGAAATGTTTTTTAAGGTTGTGTAAGAGAGAAATAAACATGTTTTATTATGTTATTTATTTTACGTGGTATCTTGCTTTGAAAGATAAGTATGATTTTAAAGATTCTGAAAGAGAATGAAGAAAAGTGTATCCGCCACGTAATGAAGATTCTGAAGGAGATTAGGTAAGTTAGTATTTTTAATTATTTTTATGCATTGTTGGAAATGTAAGGTGAAAAGGAATTTGGTATTTATTGGGAAAATTGTTATTAGCAATGATTTAAAGTAATTAGGATTGTAAGGTAATTTTTATTAATTGAATGTATGTGCTCATGTATATTTTAAGTGGTGTTTTTGAATTTAATTATATTTTAATGAAATGATAGTTATTTTGTGAATTTTATACTTGTAGGAATTTGGTGTATGTTTAAGTTGAAATAAATGTGCATGGAAATAATTTAAATATTTGATAATAAATATTTGTAATGCTTCATGTATGAATTCGTTGGTGACGTGTATAATGTAATAGATGATTTAGAGGTAAAAGTTTTTGGATATTTTATTTATTTTATATGTGGAAATATTCATATTTGTAAAGGGTAAATACTTTTTCGCGATCAGGTAATTTCATATATGTTCTTTTTACCAGGTTTAAAGATTGAGAAAATTGTCATGTATTTTCGTGAAATTTTTTTAATTTATGAGATAAAAGCAGTGTACATGGATATAGTGAAGAGTGTGCGCAATGCCATTTTTGTGCAATTCTGGGATGTTTTTTTAACTAAAAATAAGTCGACGTGTACATGGTTCAGTGATATTTTAATGAAATGATAGTTATTTTGTGAATTTTATGCTTGTAGGAATTTGGTTTACGTTTAAGTTGAAATAAACGTGCATGGAAATAATTTAAATATTTGATACTAAATATTTGTAATGCTTCATGTATGAATTCGTTGGTGACATGTATAATGTAATAGATGATTTAGAGGTAAAAGTTTTTGGATATTTTATTTATTTTATATGTGGAAATGTTCATATTTGTATAGGGTAAATACTTTTTCGCGATCAGGTAATTTCATATATGTTCTTTTTACCGGGTTTAAAGATTGAGAAAATTGTCATGTATTTTCGTGAAATTTTTCGAATTTATGAGAAAAAAGCAGTGTACATGGATATAGTGAAGAGTGTGCGCAATGCCATTTTTTGTGCAATTCTGGGATGTTTTTTTAAGTAAAAATAAGTCGGCGTGTGTACATGGTTTATGTGTATGTGTTATTTTGAAAAAACGCGTAAGGTGTATGGTATTGTGCACTTTTTTCCGAATTTTGCAGTGAATATTTGTCATGATTAAGCAGTTTTGTTTGATAAAATTTCTAGCATAAGTGTAATTCGGCTAGTAGATTGTTGGAAGAAGTGTTCAGTAGATAAGAAGAAAAGAAACGTCTTTACTTCGTGAAGACAAAATGGCGGCGGGGAAAAAAAAACAGAGGGTTGCTGTAGGGGAGTTGGTCGCCAAATTTTCGCCAAAAAATCGCCAAGTTACCGTAATGTAAAGATCAACCACATTTTCAGATTATAAAACTTTAAATTTGAAACTACTTATCTTTAAGGTGCCTGCACTTCGAGGTATAAATGAACATTAATGTAAACTGAAATGTAAAAAATTAAGCACCTAGCTAATAATATGCTGGTTCTCCATGTGCTAAATAAATGAGACTGTTTGATATAGCATTAAGTAAGAAAAACCGCTGTAAGGGTACATTCAGATTAGCTTCAAACATATATGACACAGGCAATCAATTGCACAAGTCCCGATTTTCAGAGGGTGTCATCAAAGTGATTCTCAAGAACTATAATGTACTGATGGCATGACAGAAACAGAGCACTTAAATAGTACACTGTGTCTTAATGTAAGAACCGATTTAGGAACATCATGTAAAATTCTGGAGTCAATTTTATTTTTCAAAAGATGTAACAAAGTTTTTGATTCATTACGTAGGAAGTCTCAGATAGTTCGGCACTTGGTGCAATTTTTCTGCCACCTTGAATCGCAAAAAATAGCCAAATCCTCGAGAGGAATTTTTTACACCAAGAGGAAAATGAGAATGAAAACGTGCTTTCCAAAAATTTCCCCCTTCAGCCCAATATAAGGGGGAAA